TTGAAAAAATAAATAAAATTGACACACTATTTGGCCCAACTAACCAAAAAAAGGGAGAGAAAAGACCCAAATCAATAAAATTAGAGATGAAAAAAGAAATGTAATAACAGACAACACAGAAATAAAAAGAATCATCAGAAATTACTAAAGAGCTGTATACCAACAAACCAGGAATCCTAGAAGAAATGGATAGATTCCTGGATACATGAAACCTGCCTAAATTGAGTCATGAAGACATAGAAAACTTAAAGAAACCAATAACCAGACAGAAATTCAATCAATAATAAAGAGCCTCCCAATAAAGAAAAGCTCAGGACCAGATGGCTTTGCTGCTGAATTCTACCAGACATTTAAAGAACTAACTCCAATTCTTCCCAAGGTATTCAAAACAATTGAAAGGGAATGTAGAATCCTCCCAAATTCTTTCTATGAAGTCAGCATCACCTTAATTCCTAAACGTGAAAAAGATGCAATAAAGAGAACTACAGACCAATTTTTCTGATGAACATAGATGCAAAAATCCTCAACAAAATTCTAGCTGATCGAATCCAACAACACATCAGAAAGATCATCCACCAGACCAAGTGGGATTTATCCCTGATTTGCAGGGATTGTTCAACATTTGCAAACCAATCAATGTGATACATCACATTAACAAACTGAAGAACAAAAACCATATGATTATCTAAATAGATGCAGAGAAAGCATTTGATAAAACACAACACCCTTTCATGATGAAAACTCTAAGCAAATTGGGTATAGAAGGAATATTCCTCAACACAATGAAGGCAATTTATGACAAACCCACAGCCTATTATATTGAATGGGAAAAAGTTGGAAGCATTCCAACTGAGATCCAGTACCAGACACTCACCATTGCTATTCAATATAGTCCTGGAAGTTTTAGTCAAAGCCATTAGGTAAGAAAAAGAAATCAAGGGGATATAAATTTGGAAGGAGGAAGTCAAAATATCCCTATTTGTAAATGACATGATTTTATATATAGGGGATCCAAAAGACTTTACCAAGAGACTATTGGAACTCATAGAAGCGTTTGTTAAAGTAGCAGGATATAAAATCAATACACAAAAATCAACAGCCTTTGTATACACAGACAATACCAAGGCTGATATTGAGCTTCTAAGATCAATCTCATTCACAATTGCTAAAAAAAAAATCAAATACCTTGGACTAAATTTAACCAAGGATGTCAAAGATCTCTACAATGAGAAATACAAACATTAAAGAAAAAGAAAAACAGAAGAAGATACAAAAAAATGGAAAAGTCTTCCATGTTCATGGGTTGGAAGAATCAATATCATCAAAATGCCCATTCTTCCAAAAGCAATTTACAGATTCAATGTGATACCAATCAAAATACCAAAGACATTCTTCTCAGATGTAGAAAAAATGATGCTGAAATTCACATGGAAACACAGGATACCTCAAGTAGCTTATACAATTTATAAAGCAATCTTATACAACAAAAACAAAGCCAGAGGCATCACAATACCAGATTTCAAGACATACTTCAAGGCAGTTATAATCAAAACAGCCTGGTACTGGTACAAAAACAGATGGATAGACCAATGGAACAGAATAGAAATGCCAGAAATCAATCCAAGCATCTACAATCAACTTGTATTTGACCAAGGAGCTAAAACCAATCCCTGGAGCAAGGACGATCTCTTCAACAAATGGTCCCCACATGTAGAAGGATGAAGAAAGACCCCTAGCTTACACCTTACACAAAAATCCACTCGAAACAGATTAAAGATCTAAATCAATGACCCAATACCATCAAATTATTAGAAAGCATTGAGGTGCCGGCGCCGTGGCTCAATAGGCTAATCCTCCACCTTGCGGCGCCGGCACACCGGGTTCTAGTCCCGGTTGGACAAATGGGATTACATCAAATTCAGAAGTTTCTGTACTGCAAAAGAAACATTCAGGAAAGTGAAGAGGCAACTGACAGAATGGGAGAAATTATTTGCAAACTATGGAACTGATAAAGGCTTAATAGTCAGAATATATAAAGAAATTAAGAAACTCCACAACAACAAAACCAACAATGAAGTTAAGAGATGGGCAAAAGACTTAAACAGACATTTTTCAAAAGAGGAAATCCAAATGGCCAACAGACACATGAAAAAATATTCAGGATCACTAGCCATCAGGGAAATGCAAATCAAAACCTCAATGAAGTTTCACTTCACCCCAGTTAGAATGGCTTTCATACAGAAATCAACAAACAACAAATGCTGGTGAAGATTTGGGGAAAAAGGTACCCTAATCCAGTGTTGATGGGAATGTAAGCTGGTAAAGCCACTATGGAAGATAGTATGGAGATACCTCAAAAATCATATGACCCAGCCATCCCACTCCTGGGAATTTACCCAAGGGAAATGAAATCAGTAAATATAAAAGTTACCTGCACCCCTATGTTTATTGTAGCTCAGTTCACAATAGCTAAGACATGGAATCAACCAAAATGCCTGTCAACCAAAGACCAGATAAAGTAATTATGGGATATGTACACTATGGAATAATACATAGTGGTAAAAATAATATAATCCGGTCATTTGCAACAAAATGGATAAATCTGAAAAACATCATACTTATTGAAATAAGCCAGTCCTAAAGGGACAAATACTATATGTTTTCCCTGATCTCTGAGAACTAATAGAACACCTAAAATCAAATCTGTATAAGTGTAATTGACACTTTGAGAAGGGATGACTTGAGCTGCCCTTGTCTTGACTATCGAGGAAGTTTATTTTTGTTGTTTCTGTTTTCTGCTTTTTTTCTTCATACTATTTGTTGAACTCTTAACACAGAGTTAATCAAATGTGTATAAAGTCAATTGAGGATGGATCTCAGTGAAAAATAAGAGTGGGAACGAGAGAGGGAAGAGTAAGTTTGTAATTGTGAAAATTGTATAGTCCTGCATACATTCCTATAAACTTACTTCTAAGGGTACAGCTTAAAAATTTGTCATGGGACCTCAAATCCCATTAAGCTGGGTGGTAAAAATGCCATCATAGCTGTTAAAGTGATCATATAGTGTTAAAGTGAACATATAGATAGTGGTCATATAAATAGGATATAAACATATTACAATAGTCATCTAAATAGGATCAAGTGTCTGGTAATAATAACAGATAGAATTAAAAAGGAGAGAATGTTCCAACATGGGAAGCAGTCCACACAGCAGACTCATAGAATGAAAATCACTTTAAGTAACACTCTGACCTCAGAATCAGCCCTTAAGGTTTCCTGGTCTGGCTGAAAAGCCCAAGAGAGCATTTCAGGCATGGAAAGCCAAGACACTGTGGCAAAAAATGTTCTACATGAAGGATCTCTGTGAGTGAGACCCCAGCAGAAAGAAGTGGCCATCAAAGAAAGATGTACTTTTCTCTAAAGGGAGGAGAGAACTTCCACTTTGCTTATGGCCTTGTCTAAATACTGACAGAGTTTGTGGATTCAAAAGGCTTCCATAGCATAGGAAGCTCATGTCAAGAGCCTCAGATGGTCACTGACATTGTACAAAAGATTGTTAATTGTTAAATTAACAACAGGAGGGGCTGGCACTTTGGCACAGCAGGTAAAGCCACTGCCTGCAGTGCTGGCATCCCATATGGGTGCCAGTTCAAGTCCTGGCTGCTCCACTTCTGATCCAGCTCTCTGCTATGGCCTGGGAAAGCAGTAGAAGATGTCCCAAGTCCTTGGGCCCCTGCACCCATGTGAGAGATCTGGAAGAAGTTCCTGGCTCCTACTTTTGGAACAGCATAGCTCTACCCATTGTGGCCAACTGGGGAAGTGAACCAGCAGATGGAAGACCTCTCTCTCTCTCTCTTTCTCTTTCTCTCTCTTTCTGCTTCTCCTTCTCTCTCTGTGTAACTCTTTCAAATAAATAAATAAATCTTTAAAAAAATTAACAACAGGAGTCACTGTGTACTAACTCCCCTTGCAGGACCTCTGTCCTCAGTGAGTTATTTTATGAGAGTTAACTGTAAAACTAGGTCTCAGGTTTTTTTTTTTTTTTTTTTGAGTGTGTGCAAAATGTTGAAATCTACTTAGTATAGAGTTGATCTTCTGTGTACTAAGTTAATTGAAAATGAATCTTAATGGAAAATGGGACTGGAAAGGGGAGAGGGAGGAGGAGGAGGGGTGGGAGTATGGGTGGGTGGATGGGTATGGTGGAAAGAATAACTATATTCCTAAAGTTGTAGCTATGAAATTTGTATTCCTTTAAAAATCAATCAATTAATTAATTTTTAAAAATAGAGGAATACTTGCTAATGCTTTCACTCTAGACCAGTACAGTATAAGTGAACTTAACGTTTCTGCCAAAGGTACAAAAGTTCAGAGAAAAGGATGAACAATAGCTGGGGGTAAAGAATGAACAAAGAGGTTATATGACAAGTTCTGTGAGTCATCCCAGAAAATTACTGAACCTCAGTGAGGGGCAGGTTGTGAGGACTCCCAACTTTGTGGCCACATTGGACAGAAGTGTAGGTTACCTGGGCATCTGGAACTTGAGACTGACATCTGAAGTGGGGACTGTTTTGTGGGACTGATTCCTTAAGCTGTACAGTCTGTGCTAACTCTGGGAGTGTCAGAATTGAATTGAAGTGAACTGCTGGACACCCAGTTGTTGTCTGGAGACTTGAAGAATTGGTTGTTAAGTTTTGAAAAACAACCAAATTTTCTATAATGAACTTGTATTACTGTTTTTAGTGGAAAAAGAGTAAATTGAATGTTATTTTTAAAAAAAATAAAGTTAATACAATTTGAGCACAATATAGATACCTTACATTCTCAAAATTTGCTAATATTCTGTAACAGACTATTAAATGCAAATATTTGTGAAATTAAAAGAAATCACTCTTAACTAAACCTATAAAAGCAAGTTTTCCTTGAAGAGCTGGTTTCTTCTTCTTACTAAGCCTTACCCAAATCTATAACCATTAGATTTTAGTTTTTCCACTATGGCTCACCTCCCATATCTTCATCTTCATTGGTTGGGCCTTCTGTACTGTCCACATTTTCTATTTCGTGACATTTGGTTAAATTGTAGTCATTCAAAACCGCTGGGCTTTCTAAAAGACAAAATAGTTTTACATATGCAGTCAACTTAAAAGGATTTTTATGAATATGTATAAGTATCAAGTAGACCTTCAATGAAAGCTGAGCTTCACACAGCCACTTCACATATACCCAGGAGGGATATGTGAAAACTCTTGAGGTTTAGAACTGCTCAGGGTTCATGCATCTTTCCATTATACACAATTTGCCTGCATACTTTCACCTGAGTCAAAAATGCACTTATGGGGGTGGGTATTGTGGTACAATGGGTTAAACTGCCTCTTTGATGCCTAAATCCCATATGGGAGGGTCACTTCAAGTCCCAGCTACTCAGCTTTTGATCCAGCTTACAACTACGAATCGTTGGAGGAAGTAGGGACAGCTTATGTGCTTAGGTCCCTACTACCTACATGGGAGATCTGGATGGAGTTCTAATTCCTGGCTTTGGCCTGACCTAGCCTTCCCCTGGCTATTGTGGTCATTTGGGGGAGTGAACCAACAGATGGAATATCTCTCTCACTCTTGCTCTGACTCTGCCTTTCAAACAGGTGAAAATAAATTTTTTAAAAACTACATGTACATTCTTTCTGGATAGAAACTCTGCCTCCATTGGTATAACTCACAATATTTAGTAGGATGCTACTGTTATTTATGTCTAAGAAATATAATTAATATGTAATCATGAGAAATGTTATGCCTGAAAACACTGGCATAATTCAATTTGGGAGGAATGTTTTTCTAAGAGGAAGCCAGTAAGCTTCTGTATTTGAAATCCTATTTTCCCTGGGGCTGGTATTGTGGCATAGAGGGTTAAGATACCACCTACAATTCTGGCATCGCTTATGGGCACTAGTTAGATTCCCAGCTGCTCCACTTCTGACCTAACTCTCTGCTAGTGTGCCTGGGAAGGCAGCAGAAGACGGCCCAAGTGCTTAGGCCCCTGCACCCAAGTGGGAGACCTCAACGAAGTTCCTGGCTCCTAGCTTCAGCCTGGCCCAGCTCTGGCCATCACAGCCATCTGGGGAGTAAACCAACAGATGGAAGATCTCTCTGTGTGTCTGTCTGTAACTTTTTTCAGATAAAAATGAGTAAATCTTTTTTTTAAAAGAAATCCTATTTTTCCCTCTGTTCACATCAGAAATGCAACTCTATTGGGTGCCAAGTTCAAGTTCCTTTATTTATTTGAACATTTACTAAATGCTAGCAAGGCTATATATATTAGTTATTATGCCTGTTCTCAAGGAGCTTACATTTAGCAGCTATAAGTAAGAGAAGCCCACAATCACAATGCAAGGTAGACTTAGAAAAGGACTGAAGAAAGCACAAAGTATTTTGGGAGTTCATAAGTAAAAGGGAGCAGATATAATAGAAGCATGTTTAAATAATCAGCAAATAGGGCTGCTGCTGTGGCACAAGGGTTAAAGCATTAGCCTGCAGCACTAGCATCCCACATGGATGCCACTTCAAGTCCTGGTTGCTCCACTTTTGATCCAGCTCCCTGTTAATGAGCCTGGGAAAGCAGCAGAGGATAGCCCAGGTCCTTGGGCCCCTGCATCCATGTGGGAGACCTGGAAGAAGCTCCTGGCTCCTGGCTTTGAAGCAGCTTAGCTCCAGCCATTGTGGCCATTTGGGGAGTGAACCAACAGGTGGAAGACTCCTGTCTGTCTCTACTTCTCTCTGTAACTTTGTCTTACAAGTAAATTTAAATATATATATATATATATATATATATATATATAAAGTAAATAAGCAGCAAATTTGTTAAAATCAGGTTTAAGGAAAATATAGCTTTGTACAATAAATATTGATAACACTAGAAGAAAAAGGAACAGTGTGACTGGAATTATTTTCACATATAAAGCATAGTAACTTAACGAAAAGGTGACAGCAGAGAAATGAACTGAAAAGTTACCATTTTCTATCAAACTCCTTCCCAGTGTTCAATAAAATATAAAATACTCTAAGATACTGACTCCTGTGGCATTTAAGCTGGGCTAAAGTGGAGAGGTGACTAGAAACTCTATAGTAGTGTTTCTTTCTTCTGCAGTTATGAGCAAACACATGGATCAGAGCATTTACTGGAGGACTAAAAATGGAAACACATTTCATAAAATCTATAACTAATAACCCTGAAAATGTTATCATATGGACTCAGTTTCTGATTTATGAATTCCTAAGGTTTCTAATTTCTTTGTATTATAACATGTATTCTATGATATTGTTCTAAAGAATGGTTCACTTTTCTCAAGCTTAAATGACCAAAACAATTCATACCTGAATAATCAATATGAGCTTCAGGTTCAATTAAATATGGCAGTACACACAATTCACAGTAACACAAAAAGGCACGTAAGTAATAAATTTTTTTAACTTAACATAAGCTTTGATTCAAGCAAAGCAAGTGAATTGATGGAAAAAGCACAGGAATTATTTTTAGGAAACAAACTATTTTAATTGTTTATAGCTTATCCCAGAGCAAGGGCAATTCAATTATAGCCTAAGGACCAACTCTGACTATGGCCTGCTTCTATATGGGCCCAGGAGGGAAGTATTTCTTTCACATTTTTAAAGGATTGTGAAGAAAAACAAAGAATATATGACAGAGACCACATATGGTCTGCAAAGTCTAAAACATTTACCTTCTGGCCCTTTGCAAAGAAATTTGCTGACCACTATTTTGGAGTGAAACACATAAGTCATACAAAGACAAGCCCCTATATTATTCACCAAAAATTGTCTTTATCCAAATCAAGGTTAAAATTTTAAAAAGAAAAATAGTCCAGTGATCAACATTATATAGTATGGTTTAATCTTGTAAGATCTGAATTAGTGAGTTATTTTTTATCAGCAAGGAAAAATCATATTTTTAATAAAAAGAAATGCATTTCCAAGGCAGGTATGGCACAGTAGATTAAGCTGTCACTTGCAATGCCCAAATCCCATATCAGGGTGCTGGTTCAAGTTCTGGCTACTCCACTTCTGATCCAGCTCCCTGCGAATGCACCTAGGAAAGCAGCGAAAGATGGTCCAAGTACTTGGGTCCCTGCTACCCATGTGGGAGACCAGGATGGACTTCCTGGTTCCTAGCTTGGCCAGACCCAGCCCTGGCTCTTGCAGCCATTTGGGGAGTAAACCAATAGATGGGAGAAATTTCTCCCTCTCTTTCTTTCCCCACACCTCTCCCTCTCTCCGTTTCCCCCTGTGGTTTCTGCCTTTCAAATAAATAAATGAAATCTTAAGACACATATACATACACACACATTTCCATAGCATTTTTACTGAAGTCAGAATAATATTCCTCTTTTTTTTTATATTTTCAGTAAAGATGTATTTCTACAAAGATGATGTTACCTGTGGGCACAGCCTGCTCCTGAGTGTTTTGCAGTTCTGCATTTGCTTGTGTATCTGAAAAAAAAATGAGTTAAAAAATATTAGCTACTTAGTAGGATATAATTCTAGACTTGAGCATTCCAAATTTAAAAAGGATATCATTTTGGACCTTGAGGAGTAGAATTCTTTCAGAGCAGGACTACTCCTCCTCTATACTCTCTCTAAGTGTCTGAAGGAGAAAGGAAATGAATTATTGTCACAGCAAATGTTACTCTAAGAATTTTCTGTCAACTTATGCCAAGAACAATGAAAAAAACAGTGGGTCCCAATGGAGAGAATCTCAGATATCCTTAATATTTTCTCCTCCAATACTTTATTATGAGCACTTTCAAATACATGGAAAGAAAAGTTTAGAAATTTAGAAGATTTACACAGTGAACCTATTACCTACCAAGTAGATTCTATAGTTAACATTTTGCTTTTGCTTTATCATGTAACTTTCCACCTATTCATCAATTTATCCACCAACTCACCTTATTCACTTTCTTTCTTTTTTTAAAGATTATTTATTTATTTGAAAGGCAGAGTAACAGAGAGGCAGAGGCAGAGAGGCAGAGAGAGAGAGAGAGAGAGAGAGAGAGAGAGAGAGGTCTTCCACCTTCTAGTTTACTCCCCAGATAGCTGCGACAGCTGGAGCTGGGCCAATCTGAAGCCAGGAGCTTCCTCCAGGTAGGTGCAGGGGCCCTAGGACCTGGGCCATCTTCCACTGTTTTCCCTGGCTATATCAGAGAACTGGATTGGAAGTGGAGCAGCTGAGACTGGAACCGGTGCCCTTATGGGATGCTGGCACTGCAGGCTGCAGCTTTTATTGCTGCTTCTTGTTTAAGAAAAGCCTGTTGTCTCCAAGTTGTGAAGATTTTTTTTTTTTTTTGACAGGCAGAGTGGACAGTGAGAGAGAGAGAGACAGAGAGAGAAAGGTCTTCCTTTGCCGTTGGTTCACCCTCCAATGGCCACCGTGGCCAGTGCACTGCGCTGATCCTATGGCAGGAGCCAGGTACTTATCCTGGTCTCCCATGGGGTGCAGGGCCCAAGTACTTGGGCCATCCTCCACTGCACTCCCTGGCCACAGCAGAGAGCTGGCCTGGAAGAGGGGCAACCAGGACAGAATCCAGCGCCCCGACCGGGACTAGAACCCAGTGTGCCGGTGCCGCAATTAGCCTAGTGAGCCGTGGCGCCAGCCGAAGATTTCCTCTTGATTTCTTCTATAAGCTTCATAGTTTTGGTTTTTATGTTTGTCTATGCTTTGCAGTGAGTTAATTTTCAAGTAAGTATAAGGTAGAAGTTGAGGTTCTTCATTTTCTGTGGTTTTTCAGCTGTTCCAACACCACTTATTGAAAAGACTTTTCTTTCTCCATTGGATTATTTTGGGTGCTTTTGCCACAAATCAAATAACTTTAAGACTATGGCTTGTGGCCGGCGCCATGGCTCAATAGGCTAATCCTCCGCCTGCGGCACTGGCACCCCGGGTTCTAGTCCTGGTCGGGGCACTGGATTCTGTCCCAGTTGCTCCTCTTCTGTGGCCCAGGAGTGCAGTGCAGGATAGCCCAAATGCTTGGGCCCTGCACCCGCATGGGAGACCAAGAGAAGCACCTGGCTCCTGGCTTCGGATCAGTGAAGTGCTGCCGCAGCGGTGTACTGGCCGCAGCAGCCACTGGGGAGTGAACTAACGGAAAAGGAAGACCTTTCTCTCTGTGTCTCTCTCACTGTCCACTCTGCCTGTCAAAAAAAAAAAAAAAAAAAGACTATGGCTCGTATTTTAGCTCTTACTCTACTTTAGGGAAACACTGCCTATTATTATGTCAATACCATAATGTTTTGATGCTTCATAGCAAAGCTGTGATGTCAGATTGTATAAACTTTCCAATATTGCTTCCTTTTTCATGTTACTTTAGCTATTTTAGCACCTTTGCATTCTTATATAAATTTTGAAATAAAATAATTTATGTATTAAAAAGAACTTTTGGCCGGCGCCGCGGCTCAATAGGCTAATCCTCCGCCTTGCGGCGCCGGCACACCGCGTTCTAGTCCCGGTCGGGGCACTGGATTCTATCCCGGTTGCCCCTCTTCCAGGCCAGCTCTCTGCTATGGCCCAGGAGTGCAGTGGAGGATGGCCCAAGTGCTTGGGCCCTGCACCCCATGGGAGACCAGGAGAAGCACCTGGCTCCTGCCTTCGGATCAGCGTGGTGCGCCGGCCGCGGCGGCCATTGGAGGGTGAACCAATGGCAAAAGGAAGACCTTTCTCTCTGTCTCTCTCTCACACTGTCCACTCTGCCTGTCCAAAAAAAAAAAAAAAAAGAACTTTTGTTACAGGGGAAACATTAAATATTTTATCATAAATTACAGTTTTAGGGACCACCGTTGTGGTGCAGCACATTAAGCTGCCACCTATGATGCCAACATTCCATATGGGCACAGGTTTGAGTCCTGGCTGCTCCACTTCCAATCTGGCTCCCTGCTAATGCTCCTGGGACAGCAGCAGAAGTCCAAGTACTTGGGCCCCTGCTCTCCTTGTACAAGGCCATCCTGGCTCCTGGCTTCAAACTGGCCCAGTCTTGGCTGTTGTGGCCATTTGAGGAGTGAATCAGTGGATGGAAAACTCTCTCTCTCTCTGTAATTCTGCCTTTCACATAAATAAATAAATCTTTTTTTTTTTTTAAAAGTGTAGTTTTAATTGTAGGTTTTCCACAGAACTCAAGAATTCCCTGGTACTTCTAATTTGCTGAGAGGGTTTTTGTTTGTTCGTTTTATCATGAATGAATGTATAAATTTGTCAAGTACTTCTTCTATATTGTTTGAAATTTATACTTTTTCCCCTTTATTCTACTAATTTGGTAAATCATTGATCTTACTTCTGAGATAAACCATAGAATAAGTTTGTGGGATTGCATCCCTTGAGTTTCTAGGATAAACACCTGCTTGGCCATGACATAGTTTCTGTTCCATGTACTACTATATTTAGCTGCTATAGTGTATTAAGGATTTATGTATCTATGTTTGTAAATAATTTTGGGCCTGTGGTTTTCTTTTTCTTTAATGTCTTCAATAGATTTTGGTATCAGAGTTTGGTAGCATTCCCTCCCCCTCTACTTTATGAAAGAATTGTGTAAGACTATTTTCTGCTTAAGTGTTTGATCCTGTTACACAATTGGGTCTGGAGTTTTATTTTGATAACAATTCCAATTTCTTTAACAAATACAAGTCCACTCAGATTATTATTATTATTATTTTTTTGACAGGCAGAGTGGACAGTGAGAGAGAGACAGAGAGAAAGGTCTTCCTTTGCCGTTGGTTCACCCTCCAATGGCCGCTGCGGCCGGCGCACCACGCTGATCTGAAGGCAGGAGCCAGGTGCTTCTTCCGGTTTCCCATGGGGTGCAGGGCCCAAGCACTTGGGCCATCCTCCACTGCACTCCTGGGCCATAGCAGAGAGCTGGCCTGGAAGAGGGGCAACCGGGACAGAATCCAGTGCCCCGACCAGGACTAGAACCCGGTGTGCTGGCGTCACTAGACGGAGGATTAGCCTGTTGAGCCGCGGTGCTGGCTGTCCACTCAGATTTTTAAACTCCATTTCGCATTAGTATCAGCAAGCTGTACTTCTTAAGGCATCTGTTCTAAGTTGTGAAATTTGGTCTGCGGCACCGGCACCCCAGGTTCTAGTTCCGGTTGGGGCGCCGGTTCTGTCCCGGTTGCTCCTCTTCCAGGCCAGCTCTCTGCTGTGGCCCGGGAGTGCAGTGGAGGATGGCCCAAGTGCTTGGGCCCTGAACCTGCATGGGAGACCAGGAGGAAGCACCAGGCTCCTGGCTTTGGATCGGCGCAGTGCGCCAGCCGTAGTGACCATTTGAGGAGTGAACCAACAGAAGGAAGACCTTTCTCTCTGTCTCTCTCTCTCACTGTAACTCTGCCTGTCCAAAAAAAAAAAAAAAGATGAACTAAGTTGTTAAATTGGCAAAAATTGTTTATAACATTTCTATCTGCTTAATATCTGTAGGATCCATAGACATATTTTCTTTTCATTTTCTATACTGATAATTTGTATTCTTTTTCTTGGTTAGTCTAGCCAGGGACTTATTGATTAAAAAAAAAAAAAATCTTTTCAGGCCGGCGCCATGGCGGCACCAGCGCCCCAGGTTCTAGTTCTGGTCGGGGCGCCGTATTCTGTCCCAGTTGCTCCTCTTCCAGTTCGGCTCTCTGCTGTGGCCCAGGAGTGCAGTGGAGGGTGGCCCAAGTGCTTGGGCCCTGCACCTGCATGAGAGACCAGGAGAAGCACCTGGCTCCTGGCTTCAGATCGGCGCAATGCGCCAGCCACAGCGCGCCAGCCACAGCGGCCATTGTGGGGTGAACCAACAGAAAAGGAAGACCTTTCTCTCTGTCTCTCTCTCTCTCTCACTGTCCACTCTGCCTGTCAAAAAATATATATATATTTTCAAAGAACGAATTTCTGGTTTGGTTAATTTTCTGTTTCCAGTTTTCAATTTTATTCATCTGTTGTCTTTTTCTTCCTTCTACTTATATTGGGTTTAACTTGCCTTTTTTTTTCCCTTTCCCCTTTTATGGTGAAATTTTAGTAACTGATTTTATTCCTTTCTCCTTTTCTAAAGATATAAGTTTTTAAATCTATAAATTTTCCTCTCAGTACTGCTTTAGATGCATCTCATAAATTTTGATGATTTATTTTCATTATAATTCAGTTATAACTTCCCTTGTGACTTTTTTGATCCATTGGTTATTTGTGTTTAATTTCTATATATTTAGGGGAATTAGCAGATTCTCTGGTTATTTTACTGTCAGTGATTTCTAGTTCCATTCCACTATACTCAGACAGCATAAGCTGAGGGATTTCAGTCCTTTTGAATTGATTAAGACTCATTTTCTTCATGAGTGTGCCAACTGTATTTGGATAGACACACATATATATTCATACATCCTGCTGTTGAGTCTATTGTTTGACAAATGTCAATGAGGTCAAGGTCTTTGATAATGTTGTTAAGATCTTTTTTTTAAGATTTATTTATTCT